GAGGAAGCTAAACTACATTCAACCTTCATTATTCTACTTTTTACGGTCTAGAAGTATTTTCAAAGGATTCTGCTACTTGTCGGTATGTCGTTGGTAAAGGTTAACAAGTAGTGAACACTCTAAGGTTGATGATGGCGACTTGACGATTTTCTAAGAAGATATTTTTCTTATCTACGATACCGTCTTGTTATCCACGATGAGAAGTTAAAAGAAAAGGGATGATGCAGAACTTTGAACTTCTCTGACACTTTAACGTTCAATATTATCTTATTATTTTTAATATTATTACCATTTTTTTTTTTTTACTTTAAAAAAAAATCAGTTTTAATGATGATTAAAAATTGAATATTACTCCAAAAAATGATCATTAGATATTTTTCTATATTTCTAAGAGAAAAAATTATAATTTGTACGTACAGAGGAAGTATTAAAATAAAAACTCTGTCATAAGCAAACAATACAAGTGTAAGAATAGAAAGCAGATACTAAAAATGAGTCTACACTTGATGAAGATCGAAATGCCACGAGCTCTTGAGGTTAAAGTCCTATTGTAGATAAGTTTATGTTTCATTTTTTTTTTTTTTTAACATAAATATCAGACGTTATTCATATCACAACTCGGGCTCCAATCGAAAACATTTGTTTGTTGCAGGTGTATTTATTTCAATATGCCTGAGGGAATCTATTCTAGTCACAGAATTGAAATCGCCTGTTCATCTCTTTCACTTAACCTCTTGCTCTTTCTCGACAACGAATTTATTTTCACGTTCAAGCAGCAAAATTCCCTTACACGTGGCGCAGTCTCTGCATCAACGCTATATAGCTAATCTTGCTATTCATTACTGTGCTACACGAAAGCACGAGAGAAAAAAAAAGGCAGGAGGGCAAGTACCTCTACTCACAAAGCACTTGTTCGTCTTCGTTGGCCTGTTATATACCTACATAGTAACGTCGTTCTTTAGTCCCATTACTTTTCTGTGATATTAGAAAATGTACGCAATCTGGAGCACCGCAAGGGAGGCTCGTTGGAATATAAAGAGAAAGTCTTCTCCCGATTTGCCACACCTGCCCCTATGTAATCGCAACTACGGTTAGATGTTGTTGATTTTTTTTCTGTGAAAAAATTCATTGCTCTTCGTATATTATTTTGTTAACTGTCTATATATAGTGACGACTAACAAGCTGGATAAATTTGCTTTATTCATCCAAGGAATTATATATCTACAAAGTTTCTTTAAAGTTCAAGTTTATTAATTGGCTTCTTTTAATATTATTGCTTTCACCAACTACTTTATCCGCCAGCTGAATAATATATACGTATTTTTTTTAAAAGTTTTATCTCATTATAAATTATATTGCTTTAGTCTACACCCTGCACTTTCTTCTACAATAAAATTCATCTTTGTTAAAGCTTCATTTTTTTTATATTGTAGTAAAAGTAATTTATTTTAAATTAATTGTGCTAAAAATATTTTTCATCCACACTTACACACTCATCTCAAGCTATTCTGGAATTTTGTAGATTTTTCCTTCTCAATGGAATATTATCATCAGTTGTTATTAGCATGAGAAATTTTTCACTCATGTATATCATAACAAAAGTAATACAATAAAAAGGATTAATTTCAAAGGTGAAAATAATGTCGATAATTTGTCATTTAAAACAATTTCTTTATCGTTTAAAATGATGAACAAAAATGTATAATTTAATTTTCAAAAACTCAATGCTGTCTTTCAATTTATTTTATGATTAGTATTAAATTCCAAATAAAATATATTATGATGGTATTTTATGAAAACAACATAAGCTCATAATAAAAATAACTGTCATTCGATGCATTGATTTATCTGCTTTGATAAAGATTTTTAATTCATTGATAATAAATGGCAATGAAATATTTTTTTAGAATTGACATGGTAACATTTGTATAGATTCAGTTCTGATGATTACTTTGAATAATCAAAAAATAATTAATTAAAGAAATACATATGTACTCTGAGCATTGGTATATTCTAATGTTTCATCGAATTGATCATTGTCTGTTAAAATTCATGGTATCTCAGAAATGGAAAATTAATCTAATATTACTTCTATTTTGAAATTTACTACAATCTTGATCGAAATATCAAACTACATTTTTCAAGCAAAATTCAATAAAATATTTTATTCCAAATATTTCCAATTCTTTCCATTAATTAAAGTAGCATTTGTTGTTTATCAAAAAAAAATTTTTTTTCATGTATTCATTTTTATCACATAATAATTTAATGAATTTTAATGCTTGAAAATCAAGCTTTAAAAGAATAACAACTCAAGATGTAAGAAATATTTTTTGATTGCTCTCCAAGTTGATTAAAAAACATGTAAAAATGATAAATCATTACCATTTCTAATCCAATTATTTTTAGACAACATTTTTCTAGGCTTATGAATATTTATTTGTTAATAAATGAATATAAAATATATTAGTTAGCTGAAGAAATGATTATGACCTTTTGAACTCTCTTAGTTAAAATAGTAAGCAAATGCAAACATATTCATTTAATTGTTATAGATATAATTCTCACTGACGAGTAAGGTAGTTAAGATGAGCATGCTCGATTACACTTCAAAGACTAGTTAGTACTCAAAATGTGTTTATACAATCAATCCACACTGAAGTTTACATGTTCGGAGCAACTTTCAATGCTACTTGAACGTCAATGAAGTTCTAATAGCAAACGAAATTCTGAAGTCAATTCAAATAATACTGTTCACTTGTGGTAAATGTGTGAATTAATAGAAACATACAAAAAAGCTTTGAAAGGAACCAAGTGCTTTCCATTGCTCTTAATATTAAATAATTCAGATCAATGCACCTTTGTATAAGCAAAACTCTATTTATATTTGCCATGCGAAGAAAAAACAGCTCTTCATGCACGATTAGCAGATAGCAACCAGCTCTTTTATAAAAATTTTTAATATTTTTGAAAATGAAATAGTTTAGAGTTAAATCCTTAGCTTACTAATCCGTTCTTTTCATGACATTTTATATTTTATTCAGAACGCATGAGTCACTGAAGAATTTTTTTCTTTTAAGTGAAGCACTTTTTTACAAAAAAAGAAAAATATCAATTATAAAACAGGAAATGGAATAAAATAAAAATGTAGGACAAAGAAAAAGAAGTATCTTTGATATGATTTTTCTTCTGTCCATGCAATTTTGTAATTCGACTTTTATGAGCACATCGTGATCACATTCCTCCATTGGCAACTTTTAAAGCAAAATAAGTATTCTAAGGACGCCAAAGCTGTGTATGCATCCCATCGGTATAGCAATTTAATCCCGTGAATTCTCAGTTGCTACCCTTTACTATCCTATTCCCAATGCAACGATACTCTCTCCTTTGCTCTCTTATACTCTGTTATATAATAGTCATATACCTCGACTACTTACGATACTCAGTCTCTTCCCTCGTGAAATCAGCTCCGAGTTTTCTCATACGTTGATTTACCCCGAAAAATGTAGTCGGGACATAAAAGATAGGCTACGCTCGAGAGCGTGCTTTGATCGTAAAGGGAATTTAATGGAATTGAAGTAGTACCGTTTTCATCCGTGCATTTAGGATTAATGAGGCTCAAAATAATTTTCTAAAACTTATTGTGAGCTGTGATATGCAAAAAAAGAAATAAAATTTTCAATACTATTTTTCGATTAATGTTTCATAATTCAATAAAATCCTGAATCGAAATATAGGTAAATACCTACTTGTTTAAGTTCTTTAGTTCATTTTTCTGTTTGAATAGATAAAGGTGGAGTAAAATAGAACATCAAGAAAAAACGTAAATCAACAAATTACCCATTAATTAAACTAATGTTAATAACTTTAAATGCATTAATAAATTAACAAATTGATAAATAAAAAGTGCAATAAACGTTTTTAAAGTTATTTTAAAAAATTAGTCAATTGTCTCAAGTGTTTTACTTTGCCTCCGCGTTCCACTTTACCCTCCCTTCGCCTACTTAAGATTTTTTCTTTCGGTGGTAATTCTTTTTTAACCCCCAATATTATGTCTCTTATATTTTAAAAATAGTTATGTCAAAAATTGATATTAAGATTAAAGACTCTTACAAGTATTTTAGAGTAATGAATTTAAAGTAAATTATAACATACAAACAATATAAGAGGCCATGCAAATAGCAAAAATAGCAATGAGAGAAGCAGTGGAGAAGAATAATATTTAATTAATTAAAACTTATTATCTCTCAAATACTTATTAAAATAACTGTTTTCCATGTTTTTTTTAGCTAATTATATCTAAATAAATTCAAATAATTTTTTAATTTTGGTCATATTACTTATTCTGAGACTTGTAGATTTGTTATAAATAATAATCAGATAATTTTTAACATCTAAAAATCAGGACTCTAAAGCATTAAAAAAATATTTATATATTTTGACTCGAGATCACTAATTATATCATAATATTTTTCTTCAATATTTTCTTGTGTTTAGAATTCATTCAATTATTTACTAAATAAATAACTTATGCAACTAATTGGCTATAACGAGATACATTAGCTTATCGACCATCAGTTCATTATTGATGAATAATTTATTGATTAAATGAACAATAATAATTAAATTTGAGTGAGTATCACACATGAAGGATCATGTGAAGATCACATAGCGAATGCTATGCGTTTAACTCGATGCTGAGCTCATTGGCATTCAATTGACTAATGTAGGACGCATTCCGAACACGAAACCAAATATTCTTTTGACAAAGAAAACTGCTAATCATCAAATTGAAATTGAAAAATTATTTATTCAGCTATGGAACATAATTTTCGAAAATTCAATTTAACTTCATGTCGTCTTTTCGAGAAACTAATAAATTAGTCGGTCCATCATTAATATAATTACGTAATAAAACATTATGAGAGTATAATATTGAATAGAAATTTTAGATCATTATTTCATAATAATTGTTTTAGAATAAAATAAAAGTCACTCACCAACAACATCGAGGAAACCAGTTTGGCTTTTCATTGGATCAGTATTTATTTGACACATGTACCATCCTCGATCAGACTCTCGCACTTCACGAATGTGTAGAAACCACGTTTTGTGATCACTGTAAGTGACTCCAATTCTGTGGTTCTTTGTGATCACATGGTTGGCAATTGTGAGAATTGTCTGAGTGTCAACTCGTAACCAAGCAACCTGCAACATTCAATAGGATTTTGTATGAATTTTTATCAAAGCTTGCAATTAACTTTTTATTGTCATTATGACTTGGATATAATTCCTGATCTGTTGCTGTAATAGAATATTTTTCTCCCCTAATTTACATTAAATCCTAGTCAGCTCATTTTGTTGATGAATGTAGATAATTAGATAGTCTTTACAGCTTAATAACTTTCTCCAGATTTTTGAACTTGACTTATATCCTCAACTGGGTCAATGGTCAATTAGCTGTAGTTTATCAGTGCTTTTTAGTCAGGGTCAGATTCGCTCTCCGGTGTTAGAGCGATTAAGTAGGATACGATTCGGTCCAAACACATGAGTTTCGTGGTTTGCTATTAGCACTTCGTTCTAACTTTGATACTTTGTTGTGAGCCTTGTTTATTTTTATTAATGGACCTTGAGAAGTGATACAATAAACATAATAAAATAGAAATAATGTTAGAATTCAAAGTATAATAATGATAGTGATAAAAAGTGGTGGTCAAGGGGGTGGATTTTAGTGTTTTATGCATCATCAAACCGCTCTGATGTTATTCAGAAACATCTAATATTCGGAGGGAAATAAAAACCTAGATAAAATAAAATTCTTGAATGTCCAGTGTTCACTTGTAGTTTCGTTTACGTCATTGAATTTAAAAGCAAAGGAATATCGTCATAAAAACTATCGTTTTTCTCCTGAGAGAGTACAGGTTTTAGTATTTTGCATTTTTTTTTTTAAATTACAATGCATTTTAATTTTTTTTAAGATACATAAAATGCTGAACAAAGTATTAGTGATCACTTTTTCACTCTTAGTATCGTTAAAAAGTATAGAAATATTTATTTCAACACACCCCTTGGATTTGTGGGGTATAAACTTTCATTATTTCATCAATATTTTCCTAGTATAGCAAAAGCAAATACAGTAACTGGTTCGATTTATTTGCATTTGTCTGTCTTTTTTTAGAACTTTACACCTGAGTGGCTTGGAAGAGTGTATACATGTAATCGAGAAATGGCTCTCGACCAGGATGCACGAAAAACACGCCTTGTAGTTGAAAGTTTTGAATTCAAATATATTCAATCCTGTAAAAAGGTCTTTTTATGTATAATATCAACTTTAGAGAATGTATATTTTCAAATGCAATAAGAATCAATTAGTAATTAATTAGGAATTAATTGGATCAAATCGTGACCAACATAATAAGCTTACTACAAATTCTTTGAATGAATAAAAATAATTAGTAATAAATTATATGATGAATAAAATATAATTATTATCAATATTAAAAGAAGGTGGAGTAAACAGAGTAGCAAGACAAGATAGGGACTGTAACAAAACTGATGGGCCAAGATGGAGAAGTTATTTTGTTCAAGTTGATATTTATATAAGAAGAATTCTTTTTTTTTTGTTTTGACTCATTAGAATTTAAAAGAAGGATGACTGATTATTTTTTTTAATGAAAAAGTTCCTATATTGTGCAATTAAAAATGAAGGGTTTTATTTATGAAATACCTTAAAGTCCCCGTCTTACTCTACCTTCCCCTGCATGTCTAAGATTTGACTTTATTTTCGTAAATTCAAATGCATTATTACTAAAAACAATTTCAGTAAAATCTTGTAGAGAAATTTGATGTAAGATTTCCAGTGAATAAAACATATCTCTCTTACATTCACGTCAGACGTTTGTAGAATTTCATGAGTATATAACAACACATATAGAATAGTTTGAAATTTTGACAATAAAGAACACTATAGTTAGCTTATGACTAATTCCCTTGAAGTAATGTTAGAAGGTTGCCGAAGCTGTGCATCAGTCCAAGCTTTTTAACTCATTACATCCAACAGCACTACTCACATCAAAGGATATATACTTTCTCTATAATCTACACTTCCTCTAATGGAATGTATCATTTTCCTCTTACATTGTTAAAAGCAAGCTAACATGGAGAAATCGGACACCTCACATCGTAGCCTCTTTAAACATTATTATTATTATTATTATTTTCATTAATGATATTATTAGTAAATAAATACTTGTTAATTACAAGTATACTATTACTTTTGAAAGAATAAAATTTATTGTACAATTTTATTTCAGTTTTCATTAATTGTTTTAATTTAAAAAAGAATCAAAATGTCTTTACAGAAGAATGTTGAATCTTATTAGATTTTTTACACTCACCAGTGCTTGATGCTCGCAACCCAAATGCAAGAAAGAATGGGTAGTTTTTTTTCAATACTTAATGGGTTTTATAATGAATGTGATTTTTTTCATTATTGTTATGGTTCTACAACAGTATAGCATTGTTTTATCACCTGTATCATTATAAAAATGATAAAATATTCAAAATGTATTGTACTCATTTATTTCGTTCAACTTTTCTACGTGAAACCATTTTCATAGATGAAAAATTATGTATGTATAAATTTTTAGATGATTCATCATAACAGAATAATTATAACTCTTATTACATTCAGTTGATTAACATTAATTACATCCATATAAATCCTAAATTAATTAATTAAAATATTTAATAATGAGAAATGAGATAAATCAATTTTTAAATAAATAATTATGACTTCAGTTTTATCAAAAACCATAACAAATTCAATAGAAAAGAATTCTAATATTTTTTTATATTTATTTAAATTACATAAATTGTGTAAAACCTCAAAATTCATTTTGAGGTGGAATTATTCTCAGTCGTATGACAATAAATTGTCGAAGAAACATACAGAGAAAATGCCTTTTATATAATTATAACGTTATTTGAGTTCAAAGAATAAATCATTTCATTTCAGTTAACTTGTATTTTTTATTGTTCTATTAAAGGCAATCAGCAATATATGTAATTGATATAAATGAATGCTGAAGCAAATTGCATGTTTATTACTCATAAATTCTTCTGAACTTATTATAAGAAACTCATTACATTACATGAGGATAACAATCAGTTTGATTTTGTACAGAAAAAATATTTTTAAAAAATCTGTTCTTTCATCAATAATAATCCCTCGAAATAATAACATCATAATAAAATATATCCTAGAGATTAAAGCGCAGAGAGTTTAACGAGAAAATATTCAATCCCGACTATCAAATCTCCATGGATCCTGCAATCATGGATAAACATATCATCTATCGTCTATGGTCAAATGAGTATTCTGGTTGGATCATTAACCATGTAAAAACATAATCTCTTCAATAGAGTATAATATTATGGTAAATTTCAATTGCAAACGAGTGAAAATCCTTAATATTATGAATTAATAATTAAAGATAAGCTATTTAAAATAGAAAGTATTTTTATTCTAAAAAAACTAATTTCTGGATATTTTTTAAATTCAAGTCAGTGATGAAGTTTGATAAAAGCTTGGGGATTTTTATAAATTGTAACATTTAAAAAATTTTAGGTAAAAATGTAGTTTCATGACAGATGGATATTCAGATATGTGATGCTCTTGGAATCACTACTATAAATTTTCAACTCATCACTGGAGTGGTGAGAATATTTTTCAAAGAAATATTCCATTAATATTAAAGAAAAAAAATAACGTATCTTCAAAATGTTTTATTCGATTAAAAGGAATTTAATTAACAAATGTGCTTACTGCAATGCTAAAAAAATTCTACCTTCAGAATATACTTGAAGCATAGAATAAAAATTAAATGACTATTTTTAAATACAGCATTTGTACGTTCACAGTTCATTTAAATTAACGATGAAAAATAAAATGAAGTCCACTTTTGTAAAAAGTCTCTCTCTTAAATTTTAGAAAATTAATATAGTCTAAAATCACAGACAATCATTTCAATGTGTATGAGTATGCGAGATTGAAGCAGTGTAATCTAGGATTATTATTCGAAATTTTAATGAAAATAACAATTTCGTTAATAATGGTAATTATGAAAGTAAAGTTAGTAAAGCTAGTAACAATTTCGATAGGAATTTCGACAAACTGTCGTGTGGTCTAGGAAAGGGAGAACATTATATACCAATATTGTACTATTGTACAGTAGTTGTGTTGTTGAAAGACCTCAAAAGAGCTACTGTCTCGCACTATTATCTATAATAACTAACAAACTTCTCCTAATACTAGGCACATTTAATGGTGTACACATGCAAACTGTACATCAGATAGACTGGAAACGTAAGTGGTCATTCTAAAGTTATTTAAAAGTACATTAAGTTTTTGCAAATGAAAGTGATCGAAAACATGATTAAAAATAACCCAACAAAGTTATTGCCATCGTTAAATTTATTACAAAATTTTAATGAACATTCTACTTAATATGGATAGAAAAAAAATTAATTTCCAAACAAACTCATTTCTGTAACATAAAATTACAGCTATAATTTTTTATTTACACTATGAAGCAACCTTTTTTCTACTTAAACTGATCATCTATTTTTTTTTAACGTCTCTAAGGGTTTGATCGATCAATATGTATCGACAGATATATCTATCTACTCGAGTTTTATGCTTGCAGTCAAATCTTTTATAAAAGTTTTCGATATTTTCTGTTCAACATAACAGATCACTTAGGCGTTCATAAATCCATTAGGTTTACATTTAAAATAAAAAATGAATTGAATAAGTGAAAGATTTTTTGATATATCGAATTTTGATTCTAGTAATGGATATACATTCATATAAATACAAAGATATGAATAAAGCTTTAATATCATTCCACACAAGATTTTCTTCACGACAAGCAGCTTTCTTAAAAATATCTCCATATGGTTGAAAAACTCAGTAGGATTTTTTTTTATCTATGCATGAGCATATGAACAATATAAAGGGCTTTCATACATTTTTCCGCTTCACTTTATAAGAAATAAATTCTTTTACTTTGTGATCTCAGTACCTTTGAAAGTCAGAACATCAGTCAGTTACAGTAAGTATTGAATGCTCCCGTTTTCTTCATGAAATATTTTTTCATTTTCGTTTTTTATTCGAAATGATGAAAAATGCATGGAAAATAGAGCGC